TATATATATATATATACACACACATACACACACTCCAGTTATTAGACCTTGGGTCCGACTTATAAGTGTAATTTCCCATGGCCGAAGCCTAGTGTGGCTTTCCTACCTGTGCAGAAATAGTCAAATTCACGCAAAAGACTTGCCGAATGCTCGAGTAAAGCGCACATATTTTAGGAGATTATCAGATATGAGCACACATGAAAGAGGTTCGTTTTGTGTGTGTGAGGTTCAGGGGATCTCTTGGCAGCTCTGTCACAGGTCTTGTGATCGGAGCTCAATGGTCATGGGGCAGCCTGGCAACGCACCCCCCACACAAGGTCCAGGAGGCGAGACAGCAGGTTAAAAGCATGATGTGAAAGAGACGCGTGTTCTCATGCATTGTGAGCTCTCTGACAGAGAAAATGGCGGCCCCGCTGCTTTCAGAGAAACCAACTCCTCCTGAGTCGCCATGGCAACACAAACTTCATTCACTAGCGAGTGAATGAGGGAGAGAAAGAGAGAGGGCCAGTTTAATGAAGTGATGGAACAGAAGAAGATACTGTATATGAGCACTACAGAGATTCCGTGTCGCCCCTTACTGAACTCTCATCTGATTCACTAGCTAAGCTAATTAACTTGCAGTGTGTTTTTGTATACATGGTTTTATTTAGCTATACGTTGTGGACAGCTTAACAATTTGTACCTTTCTACATCATAGTGGGAAGAAAAGTAAATATTCTTAATTTTTATGCAAATTGTAGAGTTTGACTGTATCAACCTCAACCATGCAGTTGCTATTAGTGTTATTGTACAAATAAGTTCATCAAGTACTACAAATCATGTTTTTTTACAAACTAGGTAGCCTGTACCGAGTTAGGGATTTATATATTATTTTAATTTTGCGTGCCTGCTACCGGTTTCTTTCTTTTTTTTTTTTTTTACTGAATTTGGTCTCATTTACCTTATATTTGCACGCTGTCATTGGGTTTATTTTATTTTATTTTATTATTTTACTTCATTTTATTTTAAGCTTCTGAAAAGTGCCAGGCTTTATTTTGTATCATATATTTTTCTTTTCTTCTTTTTTATAGATTGTGTTTCTCAACTGCATGCTCTTACTCATTCTGGCTTGTATTTTATTTCTATTTTACTTTATTTTACTTTTTTATTTTGCTTTATTTTACTTTTGTACTTTATTGTTTTTTTAATTATTTTACTTTTGTTATTTTAAGCTAGTGAAAATTTACTTAATTTTTAAGAGCGTCAGGCTTTATTTTGTATCATATCCATGGATTTAAAAAATTTTTTTTTATAGATTTTGTTTCTTGACTAGGCTGTTTTTGCATGCTGTTACTCATTCTGGCTTTTTTATTTTA